CGGCCTCCGTCCGGCTGGGGCGGGGTGGGAAGGCGCCCGGCTGGGTCGTCCCCTCGCCGCGGGCACCGAGGACGGTCCCAGCCCGGCCGGCAGATGCACTGCTGGAAACCGCTGCTGGGGAAGGCGGGCAGCGAGCCTGGGACTGGGACTCTTCTCAAAAGACTGTCACGGAGAGTGGTTACCACGGAGGACCGGCTGCTGTCTCGTTACGTGAGCAAACGTGGTTTTTCTTCTCCTGTTTCCCCCCACCGTATTATTTTCAGAGCTGCAGCCTGATAGGTCTTCCAAGAAAGTCAAAAAGCATCTGTAGTTCTCTTTAAAGAGCATCACCACTGGAAAGATTGTTTTCAGCTTGGTTTTTTTTTTTGTTTTATTTGGTTTAAATCCAGTATGCTTAGGAGCGGGGAGAAGCCGACTGGGAGATGTGCGTAATGGAAGCGAGCCGGTCTATAGCTAAATGTAGGGGAGTTAAAATAAGAGTGTGAGGCCAATGGGATAGAAATAGTTTAGGATATCGAGATCCTCACCTCTTCTGTCCCCACGTCCTTCAACAGCCTTGAGCAAACCAGTTACACCAATGCCTTAAACGCCGCTCTTGGCGCGCGGTGCCTGTCGTGCCGAGCCGGGGGTGGCTCCGCGGCCGAGGTCGGAGCCCCCTTTTCCAGGGAGCACTGCGGGGGGGGCAGCAGCTTCGGGGACAGGGGCCCTTGCTTGGCTGCTGCTTCTGGTCACTGCGAACGCTTCTGTTGGTGATTGTCCCTCGTGGGGAGGGCTGTGAGGCCTGGGTGGGCGGCTGCAAAGCACTTTGGAGTCTTCGGACGTTGAGCGGTCCTTTTCCTGTGCCAGCTGGTGGGTGCCAGCGACTCGCCGCGGTGCTGTGCCGCTGGTGCCTTCCTCGAGGGGTCTCTTGCTGCTTCGTACCCGCGTAAACCCCACAAGCTCAGCCACGGAGCAGTTAGAAACCGTTCTACTGAGACTTGGCTGTGGTTTGCCTGGTTCGGGGGACTGCGAAGCTCCGTTTCAGTGGGACTGCGGAGCACTCGCCGCTCCTGCCGTGCCGATGCCTGCAGTGACATCCCAAGAGAGCTGGCTCCCACGTCTCCATGGGCGCTGCTCGGGTGCGGGTGTGCGTGCGAGCCCGTGCCTGCCTGCAGCAGCTGGCGATGGCTGCGCCGTGGGGCGGGAGGCACGAGTAGCCTCAAGAGGTATCTTCTGCTGCGGAGTGAGCAGTACGGTCTCACGATAGCCAACCAAAGTTTTAAATAGCTAACTGCCTGAAATTAGAAATATATAATCTTCCTCATAGGTAAACTTGCTGAAAATGACTGTAAGATAGGTGTAAAAACTTGTAGAGAATGTTTTCTAATTGCTGACAAACGAAAAGCACTTTGAGACGTTAGTCTACTTCTATGGAAAGCACTTTCTATTTTCAGTACTACACAGTATCGCTGGTTCCACTCCAGCTCACCCTGCGTTGCGTGCTCGTGGGCCTGTAAGCAGATTTTGCTCTGCCATTGAACTGAAAATTCAGTGGTAAATTTTCCTTCACAGTGGAACTTTCAGAAGAGTTATCTTGATATTAATGTCATGTTGTTGACGTTCTACGTTTTATGTTATTTCCGACTTTACCTAATAATTTAACAGCTGTTTCAAATATTACAGCAGCTTCAAAGTATTCTGAACTTTACTTTGCTGTGAATAAAATGAAAACACAAATACCATAATCAGTCTAGCAGCTAATTGCAATGGCATTTTTATGCCAGTAAGTCGCAGTGACTTGGAAGATTTCCAGACGTGCTCACCCCAGCCAGTATTGAAGTAACATGTTTTAAATATCTGGGTGTTGGTTTTTAAAAATGTTTATGGCAAAAAGTGACTGTGGAGTAACTGTCTGGGTATTTCAGCATGACAGTGTCACGTAGAATAGCACCCCCCTGCCCGCCACCCCCTTAAAACACAGAAGCTTCTCCATGCGAGGAGCATCTTGAGGATTCGTATTTATCTGTGGAAGTAAAGCCATGATCCTGTCTGAGTCGCTTCAGGGTCAGGTTTTATCACTGGATGAAGTTTCACCAGTTTAACTTGAAACAAAACAAAGAAGCCTGTCTGATAATATTGCAACCTAGTTGTTTTTTCTTCCTGATATATTTTTTTTCAGAGTTATAACTGCAGATTAGTTCTCAAGATCAGCTTTAAATTTAAAGGCTGGTTGGGAGACTTCCGTCTTGAAGATTGACTTTGCCCACAAATGGTGTCTGTACAATTTTTCCCCTCAAGAATTCTCCTAAATTTGAGCATATCCCCAACAGAAGTTTCTTTTTCGTTCTTTTTTTTTTTTTTTTCTTTCTTTTAGAGCAAAATGTGAAACTCCAATGGTGGCACTTGCTTTGAATTTCACATTTAGTATTTCACCCAGACATGCAATTCCTAGGTAGTTGTAATACGGTGTTATGTAGTGTGGAGCGTCTTGTTTCTAGCAGACAGGTATTTGTTTGTGTTAAATATTAGAAGCATGATAATGTAAGTCAGTTTTATGAAATGGCCATTATTCATTCAAAGAACACCCATTCTGGGAATGCATAGTGGACTAAGCTGTAACTAAATCAGGCAGGACTCTGCTCACAGTTGTGAAACTGGTTAGCATCAATGTTTTAAGCAGTGGAACTATTCTAGTCTTTAAACGCTCTGGACTATCCCTGCTTCTTTTGAATGCATTAAGCAAAATTCTAGTATTTCAGTAACAGCTCGACATCTCTGCTGGGGCCGTCGGGAACTGTTGGTGTCACAAAGACGCGGCTGTCAGAGCTGTTGGCAGCCAGAGCGCTCACAGAAAGTTAAACCTGTAATGAAGAGCGAGGATCTCGGCCGCAGGGACAGGAGGAGTTCCCGCTTCCTTGGTCAGGTAACTTTGTCAGGACAGCACGTAGATAAACCACTCTGATTCCCGTTCCTGCTCCTTCTCCCGGGCTCTGTTTCGCTATATAAATTTAGCAATAGAAGAGGAAGAAACTGAGGGGTAGTAATGGAGCAGAGCAGCCTACTTTATAGCCCCATCTCTGTGCTGGAAGCAATCTTGTCTTCTCACAATGGAATTAACTGTCACTTCAGCCCTCTCTGATGCAGTTCGGTCACTCCAGTCTTCATACAACTTAAATTATCCCCTGCAGCTGCCTCTCCCGCCAAAGTACCTGCTAATGCAGTATAACCGACAGCTTTACTTGTAAAGTGTCAAAGTCGCTTATTTATAAGTGCCATTGAACACCAACCTTCTTGCATTAAATATGTCTGGACATATTGTTTTATTACCTGTGTGGTCTGACTTTATTTAGTAGTGCTTAAGTGGTCTGTCTGCTGCAAGATTGAGATCTTTGCATCTAAGATTAAAAGGGCAGGAAAACGGAGCCCAAACTGGCCTGGGCAACAGTCTGGATTTCAGCTCACCTCGGGCTTGCTCCAATTTCTGCTTACCAGTTGTTGATAGAAACCCTGTGGCAATTTAAGGGCTTTTAGAAGCCCGACGAAGGCACGAAGGGGCAGCCAGCCCTGACTGCCCCGTCGCTCCAGAAACACCCCTCCATCGGGCTGGTTCCGCAGGCTGCACAGCTGCTCGTGCAGTTCAGCCTGTGCTGCTGCTATAAATAGGTCTTGGGTTTGAGCTCTTCATTAGTAATGAAACTTGCATACTTATTTGCAAGTCCTAACTAGAATGTTGTACTTAAACTTGGGAACGCAGTGTGAGCAATGCAAGCAGCAACATAAAAGGCAGGCTTGTCTTCATAGTGGCTTATTCCCTCCCCTCCTCAGAATTACACTTCTTTGCATTCTCATCTCTTTAGTCCTGCTCTGGCTACAGAACCAGGTTCTTTGGGAGGGAAGTGTGCAATGTGTCATTCTAGCCACAGTGTATTTCTAGAATTGTCCCCAAACCTGAGCAGCATGTAAAGTAGTCCAGACAGTGTGAGCATACCACAAATCCCAGAGAATTCTCCCGTTCCTTTGCAGATACCTACGTCAACAAGCATAGATGTGCCGGTGCCAGTGCCTCTGCCACGCTGCCTGCACCGTGGTCTGACTCTTTAATGTACACCCTTGCTAGCAGTGGTGCAGTCAATGTGGAGACAGGCGAACACAACACAAGACTCCTAGATAAACTGTCGCTCTTCCCCGCTTCTCTTATGATGGAGAAAAACCCAGGTGGCTGAAAAAAGTAGATACTGGAGAGACCCGTGCGGAGGTTTGGGGGTGCTGCCTTGTGCTTGTCAGGCCGGCAGCTGCTGCCCTCCTCTGGCAGCAGATCAGCCTTCCCCGGAGATCAGCCACGCGCAGAAGCGTTTGGGTTTCTTCTGGTGCTGCCCCACTGAAGTCTGTTCGCGATTGTAGAACAGGGTTAATACATCAGCAATGTCCTGCTGTCCATCTAGGCTTTGCCTTCCGCCATGGGCCGCGGTTTTGCTCGCAGGATGGCAGTGTGAGGAGCCTGATGGGGCTCAGTACCTGGCATTGAAAACTTCTCCTTCTAGCTGTGCACAATGGAAAACCTACTTTGAGTTTGGGAAAGAAAAGCTTCCTGAAAACAAGCAGGACTTACAGCCTGCCTCGCACTAGCGCTGAAGAACAATACTACCCTAGCATTAAACAGGAATACGAGGCATGTTTATTTAAGAATGGTTTCAATTTGGGGGACTGAAATCACAGCTTCCCTTTAACTGTGTGAATGATCTCAGCTGGCTCTTCAGGACTACGGAAGTGGCCCAGTGAAACTTCTACCCAGTTAGAAATGAAAACTATGATTTATTTAAAAACTGTCTTCCACTTTTTCCAAGACAACTTTTTCACAAACAGCACAAGACCCGTTTCACTTTTCCGTACACCATCAGGGATCCTGAACAGGTAACTCTTCTGGTAGTTCGAGGGGTACTTTTGAGGAAATTTGCTAGTTTTTACAATAATTTACCTCTTCCTTGTTATGCACTGCTCTAGATCAGGAATTCTGCTCTGTAAACATCTGTATGACACAGGAATTTTAAAAAGTAGCAAACAAGGTTTAAAGAGGGTGTGAGGAAAGTACAAAGCCTGGGATAGCTCAGTCTGCCTAAAAATTGTGGGCTCTGCGTAATGTAGATCAGCTAAAACCCATGTCTCGGCAGGGATAAGCCCCCTGGAAGTGGTGTACACTTTAGTGTTGCGACCATGCTAAAGAAACAGGAGTAGCATTCATTTCAATAGTATTTTTTGTTTCATAAGTCAGGACCTGCTTTATTCTGTCTAGGAAGCATTAGGCCAGGCCAAGCCACATCTAGAGCAGTGGCAACACATGCAGAGCAATGATTTTTTTTTTTTTCAGTTAAATACGTTCCAGGGAAACAGTTTAGTCTTAGAAGTATGTGGTATATTACAAAAAAACACATCTAAGGATTATGTGGAGTCTGTTTTGGGGATGATGGGAATGCTTGGTCCCCTCAGTCTCCGGCACAAGAAGTCACTCTCACAGGTATGTCAGGAGTCTCATTTATAGCAAAGCAGAGTCTGTTTATAGGAGCAAGCAAATGAAAACTGAAGTCCTTAGTCCAGTTTTTCCCTTACATAAACTTGTGTTCACAGGTCCTATCTTATTGAATAAGTTGTCTTCAGCACAGAGGAGATGAAACACGGTGTCAAACAGCATTGCAACTGCTAACTTCCCTTGGCTTTCAGCATCCTACTGTGAAAGCCCCCTGGAGCTGGCCTCAGCTGCGAGCCGGTGTTGAGCAGCCCAGGATCATGCACCCCCACAAAGGCGTTTAATTACAGGGCTGCAGCTGGGATCGTTACCCCACAGCACGCCGGACTCCTCACACCAAGCGCTGCGTTCGGATGCCGGTGCACAGGCAGGGCTGACCATAGGATCCCCACCAGCAGACACTGAAGACCAACCCTCTAAACCACAGGCTGCACTGAGGACAACAGCGGAACCCCTTCTGTCTCTCAATGCTAACATGTCTTCCCCTCCAGTTGAAGGAGTTAATTTACATAGCAAAGAACCTTACTCAAAGGTGAGGCTCTCCAGCCAATAAGAGGTGGGTGTGTTTACCTCCCCCAATATGTTTCTATTAATTCCATGGATGCTTTGGAGCACTGAGGAAGGAATAGAGGTTGGTTTGGTTTTTTTTTAAATTATACCCAATTCCCTGTCTCTCCAAGTCTCCTCTGTGCCTGAAGTCAATTTTTTTCGGGGTAAAATACTGAAGTCTTATCACAGGTGAAACCAACTCCTGAGGAGAGGGTAAAACTTGGTTTGTAACTAACTTATGCCTACTTCAGCATTACTACAGGAGCCTTCTTGGTCACAAGCTTCAAGGCAGACACCAGACCTACCCGCTCCAGTTCACACACGCCTTTGACTTCAGCAGAACCAAAGTAATGCCAGGAAGGAATTCAGTCAATGAGTTTATAAAACTATTCTTTTACACAGTTGACTCCAGAAGCTTCACCAGTTGGTACGGGGACAGTGTGATGTAAAACCTGATGATCCCATCCAACTGTAGTGAGCAAGTCGTTGTCTGAAGGAGACCACGATAAGCCTTTTACAAAGTCTCGATGAGAACGGTTTCTGAACCTGGAAAACATGAATGCTCCATTAGCCAAAAAGCACTGTCACTAATTGTTTAGGGGCTTGTGCAATTCATAACTGCTAGTTTGTTAGGATGATGCAGGAGTATTTTCATCTTCCGCTCAGCATATGGATAATAACGAGAAGTCAGCAAGACAAACACTACAGTAGTGAATACATTCTGTCTAGTACTTACACCTCTGAGAGGTCTGAGTCAAGAACAGCTACTGAACAGTCTTCACTGATGGAAGCCAGTAAGGGTGAGCTGGAGGACAGAGATGAGACCGCCGTTAGAACAATCAAATCAAGAAAGCTTCTTGGGGATAAACTTGTGAAAAGCGCATTTCTCAGTGAGCCTGACCCAGGTACAGTGAATTAACTGACACCAAAGCTTACAAAAGTGTTTTCCTCATCATTTGGCAGGTTGCCAGCACCCTAAGCAAGAATATTCTATTAGCGCCAGAAAGCGAGGGACCTTCCTCAAGCAGAGGTGACTGCAGTTAAAAAATCCCCCCAGGGAGTGGGTAATTCGGAATGCTGCAGAAGTCTTCTGTATGTTCACACATTTCACATCAGAAGTGAGATGATGTTTGGTTTACTCTCTATCAATCTTGATACAAAGACCAAAACTAGTACTGTCACAGGTTTTGCTCTAAAATAACATTTTCAGGTGTATGCAGGCACACATTCTATGCCAATATATCAGACTACCTATGTGTAGAAAATGCAAACCCCGTGATACTCCGGGTATGCACAGTGGAGCTGAGGGCAGAATCGGGATTCTTTGTGTCTACTAGTGCAACCGTTCCATTTTCGTCACCTTGAAGAGAGGGAGAATGAGGTTATTAGAAAGACTTTGATTTGTCTGGTGAAAGTGAAATAATAAGATCGCTTCTTACCCAAAGCAAAGATGTCACTTTTCTGTGGATGCCACATGAGTGAGGTAGGGAGGTGATTACAGGCACTGCAAACTGCGAGTACATAAATTGGGATGAGTGTGAAAAGAGTCAGTACAGAGCTGTTCCTACACCATCTCATTTAGCGCTGCTGCTGCACTAAGACAAATATTTCAAAGCTTACTGTACTTCCGTGCTGGTGTTAGACTTCCTTAGGTTTTAATGGGCTTTTCTGCCCTAATGGCCAGATTGCTAGATTTGAAGTTAGACATAGTGAAGTCTGGCATATAGTAATACATTTCTTCCAACAAAAGCTCGTGCACAAGCAGTGACTGCATACAGAAACATACCGATTCGAGTAGCTGGTTTGGGGCATCTGGTGTCCCAGAGTAAAGTTCTGCTGTCCTACAAATCCAAAGTGAATGAGAAGGTTTTTACAATTTCTTTGTGGCAGGAGGTAAGCATAAACTCATCACTGCAGAACCGCTGCTGACCCACATTCAAACCCGCACCACCTCTTCTTTTGTGTTAAAGTGACGGCGCCATGAACTGCACGTTCGCTCCTTCGGTCATCCCCAGGACAGACCTAGGACCTCCCACGTTTTAATACAGACCTGTAGAAATCAGCTTGGTTGGCAACTGCTCAGGCTGTAATATTTAAGTAACACGGGTATGCAGCTCGTAACGCAATAGGTGGTTTCTCGCTAAGTGCATTTAACTGTAAATAACTAAAGCTAAATCTCATTTTTATGGGGTAGAGTTAGACAGAGAGCGAGCTTTACCTCAGCACAGGAGAGGAACACAGTGTCCTTGCCAGGACAGGAAGCCACACATGTCACTGCACCGGAGTGAGCTACCAAAAGCACAAAAGGATAAAGAGCCTCAAAACACTGTATCCAGTTTTCCCCCACACGCTCCCACGGACCTCTGCGGGCACAGCAGCGTTGCAAGGACTAGTTTATGCAC